CGCACTATATCATTGTTATCTTGAATGGACAAGACAAGGAGGGTAGTACAGCACTGGAACAGGTTATCTAGAGAGGCAGTGGATCCTCCATCTTTGGATGTTTTCAAGACTCAGCTAGACAAAACCATGATCTAGACCAAGACCTGATCTAATGTTGGCAATAGTCCCTCTTTGCGCACAAGGCTGGACTAGATGACCTCCAGAGATCCCTTAAAACCAACATTTTTAGGATTTTAAGTGTTTTACCTGAGCAATGAACACCACATGCTTTCCACTGAATTTCTTCTCCAGCTCACGAACTAGCCGCACCTGAATCTTCTGGAAAGATTTCAGCTGAGGAACTGGTACAAAGATAATGATGGCTTTTCTGCCACCACCTACTTCAATTTCCTGAAACAGAAGTAGAAAGCAAACATTATCTAGGGGTCAAGAAGCAATGTTTGGTTTGATCGTGAATCATTTGAACACAGATATTTGATAGCCTTGCTTAAAACTTTGCATGAGAGAAGCAGCATCAGAAAGCAGCATCTGTTTTAATACATTTAAGAGCAAGTGTTAAACAGAAAAACCTCTGTCAGAGCACTTGTTTTGCAGTAAAGGAATGATTGGGTAATCAATCCCATCACTCCTTTCAGAGTCACATTCTCTGAAGAGCAAAGCTCATTTTTTTCTGCAGGACAGGACTCAGATGCAAGAATCCTAACTATGCTGAGCACTTACCATCACATCTGAAGTGGTACTTACATGCCATTATAGAAGTTTCAAAAATTATTTACCTCTAATGCAGCCTCTAGACAAAGTTTACAGTAATAAATCTCTTCTTTTTGAACTACCACTTCATGGAAATCATCTTTTGTCCACCACTTGCCAAGGCCTGCATCACTACTCAAACAAAACATTTCTTTCCCCTCCAAATGCCATCAGATTTATATCACACCCAACATGGATTACTTTTTCCCTGGTTTGTCTTCAACAGTTGATCAAAACCAAAGAAGTATGTATAGGCTTACAAGGTGCTTCTCCCATGAACCTAACTGCAGGGACATCCTCATTCTCCAACAGAATGGAAAGCTGAATTGTTTTTCATCAGCTACATGCCCACATGAGCTAATTCAAGATGCCCACAGGAGATTTCTCACAAATAAAACTAAGTAACTAAGTAAACAACATTTTTAAAAATCCCTCACTGAGGACAGTACACATTGCTGCACAGCAGTTCTTCTGAAGGCCCCTGAACTCATATCAAGTCAACTTCTGCATTCCCAGATTCTTGAACTCTAAGCAGTCAAGTATCTGCATCCATGTGCATATTGGTGGGCCTAGGAAAGAACCAAAAAGCAACCTACTTCTGAAGCTGGTTGCTGTAACCAGAAGCTGAAGTCCCATCCAGTCTCTAAGGTTGACAAATTCTAACACTAGTTTTCCTTGTTTTCTTCCTTCAGGCTTCAGTTGTCTTTACAAACTAAACCTGAAGTTTACGAACAAGCTAACCTATAAGATCAAATCAGTCTAATACCTTGATCTACTTCCTATCTAGAGCATTTACAACAAACTGAGTATACAAAGAGTATTACAGTTTATTTTCCTGACAAAGATTCTGCAATGCCTACACTGACAGCCAATATTCACACACAAGCCAGTTTCAGACCTCAAGCCCAGTCTGCAAAGAACGCAATACCTGCATCTTCAAACCTTTTTATTTCAAATGCCAAACTGCTGCTTGAGTTTTTATAATGACTTTTCAGAACTATTTCTAAAAGAATAACTATTACAAAACCTCTCGTGTTAACAGCAAATACCAGACGATAAACCACAACAATCATCACAGGCCACAGCAAACAGCTAAGGACATTATTCACCATTAACATTCACAAAAGGTAAACACACACAGAGCAAGCCACCAAGCAAGTCTTTGCAGAGAAGGTCTAGCCTACCTTAGCTGCTGTGATGTTCAGCTCCCGCAGCTGAGCCTTTAAGTCAGAGTTCATTTCCAACTCCAGCAGAGCCTAGAAAAGTAAAGTTGCAGAATAATCCATTGCATACAGTTTAACTGCTAAAAACCCTTGAGACCAAAGCCTGCCCACAGTGCAAGAGAGCAGCTATATACTTTTTACCACAGACAATACCAAGGATTTAGTTTCTTGTAAGTCACACTGACAGATGCAGCAAGTTTAACTGGTGGCAACACAGGCTTCTAAGTAAAACTAGGAAAGAGTACACATTCAGACAGCATCACTCTCAAAATTTAAGTCCTAGACAACTGTCACAACACTGTCCCCATGACCTGTAGGCAGTTACCAAACACCAAAAGGAAAAGACACATACCTGGGATATACCAGATTCAAATTCATCTGGCTTCTCGCCATTAGGCTTCACAATCTTTGCGCTAGAGCTGAACATGACCTTTCTGCAATGCAAAAGATCTCGGTTGTCACCAGGAAGACGCCTTCTGCTACGAACACAGCAACGCTCTGCCAGTCGGCTACTCAGCCGCCTCACAGGGAAGTCGAAGGCAACCCCACTCAAGCCCCTGTACGTCGCTGCGGGACATGCCGACCACAGCGTGGGAAAACCGGCCTGGGGAAGGAGGGGCTAGGCCACCGCGGCGCCTGGCGTGTGCGCCGAGACCCCGGCAGTGACGAGGCCCCAGCAGCCCCAAGGAGGGTGCCCGGCCGCTCACAGAGCCCCACGTGCGGCCGGACAGCCAGGGCCTCCT